GAGAGTTTTTTGTACATTTGTCCACACGCCTACATCTCTGTTTATTTCCCTTTGATGTTTTTGTGGAATTTAAATTACTACTCAGAAAGTACAGAACTTCTAAAGCTATTGATTTGTACTACCAAATAGCTATCAGAAAGATTTATAGTTTCTATCCCATCAGCAGAGAAGAATGCCTGGTTTCTCATTCCTACACTAACAGTAATTATCCTTTTCAATCTTTACAGATTTGATTAGCCTAGATGAGTTTCAGTTTTGCTTTTTGGTATTTCTTTGATCATTAGTAAACAAATTTTTTTATAACATTATGTGAAACTTTATTTCTTCTCTGAATTATCTATTTGTGTTTTCGACCATTAAAAAATGGAAGTGTTGGTATTTTTCCTATTGGTGTGCTACAGATGGAATAGTAAAGGTTTTAAAAACCAGTTTAAAATCAACTGCATATTTTTTGTGCTGCATCATCCATGGCCACCTTAGAAGAAAGACCAGTTCCAGATGCAAAGGGCAGTTCTTTCGGTTATTTTGGGTTATTGGATCAATTCTCCTTTGCATGAAGAATGCACAAGAAAATGTGAGTGCAGTTTTTTTCCCTCAAAACACTTGCTTTCCATTAAGTGGATCTTTTGTGCTGAATCAGATTTACGGACCCACCAAAGCAGAGGGTGCTGCTGGCAGAGGGAAGAGCCTGGTCTGGTGTTAATGCAAGAAGATCCCTGCGGTACAGTCTCAGGAAGTCAGACCATACGGAGAATTTTCTTTCTCTGCCTGCTTCCCTTCCTTGTTCCTTTCTTTTTACTTTTCATAATTGTAAGGTGTCAGGAATGGCTTGCCTCATTAGACGATACATATTTTCCAGAAAGTCTCTGTTCTTTACATTTTCCCTAGGTACTATAGATGCCCGAAAGCATCAAAAGAATAAAGAATTTTTTGAAGTCCATTCATAGGATTCACAAGAAGAATTTATCACAGAAACTTCAATTAATCTTTGGGGGAAAAAAAAAAGGAGCAGGCTTCAACAACGCCCTTGAGATGGGCGTTAGCATTATCTTGATTTTACAGATGAGGCTTAGAGACGTTAAGCAATTTGCTCAAGGTCAACAGCCAGTAAAACAACAGCACCAAAACTTGGATCCAGTTCTGCTGATGCCAAAGTGCGCGATCTGGTCTACACTGCTTGGCTGGCCTAGTTAGTTACAGTTCTTAATTACCTGCGATCAGTAAGCTCTAGTTACAATCTTTACATGTGACCAGAAAGCCTGTAGCAGATCTATGAGGCAGGCCTTGCAGGGGACAGGTGTTGGCACATCAGCCCCAGTATGGGGCCATGGGGCTAGGTGAGTCAGCAGGTTTGTGAATGAGAGAGAATCTTTAACAGAGGCCAGAGTGACCATCTTCTGGGCAAAACGGCAGAAGGGGAAACTGGACACATTGGTATAGAAAAACAAAGGGATGGTTAGTGAAAGAATCAAGGTGGTTTCCTCCCCCCTCAAAGACTTCGGGAGCCCCATGTTTGAGTCTGTTTCAGAATCATCGTGAAAAGCTGAGGAGCTTCTAGGGCTGCAGAGGAAAAACCGTGGGTCCCAGGAAGATGGAAGAGAGCCCGGCAGGGCTCTAGCAAGGTGTAGACACAAGGACCCGCGAGCTGGGGACTGAGCTGCAGGCACGGTGACGGGGGAATGGATGTTTCTCTTGTCAGGTGTGTGACGAGTTGTTCTGTTAATCAGGTTCACATCATAAACGCAAGCAGTGCTCTCAAGAACTGGGACGTGGACGAGGAGAAAGAATGCTTTCCAGCTGGGTGCAACAGACTCTCTAAGAGAGTGGCTTTCAGACTTCTTTGGAGGATGACTCACAGTGAGGAATACAGTTTCTATCACAAGCTGGTGGCACATACATATATATGAAACTGGAGCAAAATTTAATGGTGCAATGCTCACCCTCACTATGCAAGATACATTCTGATATTTTCTATCCCCTTCTATTTCATTTGAGCAAAAGAGCTGGCGCCTCTCACTAAACCAATTTCTCAATCCAGGAAGGGGTCATGACTTCCTGAGTGAAAAATCACTGCTCTGGGTTGCACCGCGTTTCAACAAGCAGAACGGCCACAGAAGGCATCCTTTGGCTCTTGGTGACCACAATCCACAGCATTGAAGTTGCATACAGAATTGTTTCCAAAGCAAAGAGATCAAAAAGAATGCTTTTTATTCTGGTTAACCTCTGTCCTTAGAGCCTAAAAAGAACTTCCAGTGCAGCGACAGTCCAGAGGGTGATTCTGTCAGAAGGGATTGGAAACTTGTTCTGAATATGTGCAGAAGTTTCCTGAGTCCCATTTAAGTCCAGCCGTGCTAAGCCTAAGACAGGCGTCTTCGCTCCCAAGCTTCCCAGGACCCCTTGGCTGTGCGCACAAAGAGAACCCGGCTTTTCTTGTTTGGGCCTTTGCTCCTTCCTATTTGATTGAATTTGAAGAGGAACTGTTTGCCTTTGGCCGCACATCCTGAATCATAATCAGGATGCTGCTGGCACAGAAAACCTGCTCCCACCCTTGCCTGAAATAACTGAACGGGGAAGTAGAGTTCCTCTCCTCCCCAACCTTAAAGAAAGAGGCTCATGATTTATGGTGTGCTGGCAATACATCAAAAGTCCATTCAGTCACTTACAGTAAAATCAAGGAGGGCAGAACAATGAATATAAAGTGAGATTAAAACACCTCTTTAAAGGAACGCACTGTTCAGTGGACACCAGAATAACGATGCTTCCGTCTTTGTTAGCCAGAGTCCAGTGGCCTTCAGAGATGCTTCCTTGTCTGTAGGATTTGAAAAAGGTATAAAGCCACACCCTCAGCTTTTGCAATTCTTCAACAAATATGGTTTATGCAAACTATGTCAAGGACGGTGTTCCTAGGGTATACGAGTTCCCTAGGGCTGCTGTAACAAATTACTATAAACTTGGGGGCTTAAAACAACAGGAATTTCTTCCCTCCTAGTGGTGGAGGCCAAACGTCGGACATCAAGGCATTGTCAGGGCCACACTCCCTTCGAAGGCTCTGGAGGAGAATCTTTCCTTGTGTCTTCCAGCTTCCGGTGGTCCAGGCGTTTCTTGGTCTGTGACCGCATCACTCCAGTCTCTGCCTCCTGCTTCCTACGGCTTTCTCCTTCTTCTGACTGTCTCTCCTGTGTGTTTCTTATCAGGACACTTGTCATTGAATTTAGCTGATCATCCTTAGGATAATCCAGGCTGATATCATCTGGAGATCTTTGATAATAATCCAGGCTGATATCATCTGGAGATCTTTGATTATCTTTGCAACCCCCCCCCCAATAAGGTCGCATTTATAGGTACTGGTGGGGTTAGGATATGGTCATATCTTTTTGGGGGACCACTATTCAACCCACTCTACAGAGGATACAATGTTGAAAAAGACAGGGTTGTTTTTCTCAAGGAGCTCAGTCTAGCAGGGGAGACACTATGAAGTAACAATGTCAAAAGAATAACCACAGGCAGAGCTCTGTTGCAAGGGCTGAGGGGATCTTGAAAGAGATTGCACTGGGAGTTGATGTGGAGGTTATAGTGGGGCAAGGATGGGTGTGCTTTTTTTTTTTTTAACTTTTGAACTCTGTAACTTTCTGGCATCTAGAAATCACTATAGAAAGCTATCAGGTTGAAAAAATAAGTCCAGTTGGAATGGAGAGGATTCATACCAGCCCAGCCAGATCTCTTGGGTCTGGCTGAGTTCAGCTAATCCTGCTGGCTGTATCGAGGTCTGGGGGAGTTGGCAGGAAAATGAGGGGTGGCTGAAGCACATGAATTGGTTGGGAGTTTTGATGGCTACGCTGCTGGGAGGTGAGGAGCCGGACACCATGAAATGGGTCATTGGATTTCTCTGTGGTGGAGAATGAAAGAAGGAGGATTTGTGTCTGCCGCGCATCCCCGGTGAGAGCCCGTGGGCCCCTGCGGGCAGGCTGAGGCAGCTGCCCTATGGAGGTCTCCTCCTTTGCTCCAAGGCCTTGGGCCTGGTGTCCTGGGGCAGGGCAGATTCCTGCCTCCAGACATGCGAGGGAAAAGACAGAATCCTTGTGCTCACTTCTCTTTTGGGGACAGTATTTGTACAGTCTTCCCAGATTACCATCTGCAGGTCTTTACATTCTCCTAGGACTTCACCTTCTTGGTGATGTTTTATCGTATCAAAAAGTTTCTTGATAATAAATATTATGGAATTATTGCTAATACTCTTGGGTGTAGCATGCTTGTTGTTCTGAAGAAGAACACCTTTACTGTCAAAGGGCACAGGTGAAGTATTTACGGGGGATGTGTTAATCGTGTTTATAATTTTCAGTGTTTCGGTGAAAAGGTAGGTAAACAGACCCAATATCACAAAAATGGTAAGAACCGCTAAGTCTAGGCGGAAGTGATGTGGATGTTCACCGTTCTGTTCTTTCAACTTTTTTCTACATTTGAAATTATTCATAATAAAAATTTGGGGGGAGATTGGGAGAAGAAGATTCTTGAAGCAGAATTTCTTGACCTGTTTCATGAGCTGTGGGTGGAGTGGTGAATGGGTGTCAGGGACCAGGAAGCTTCTAAATTTATGTGTCAGCCTTTGTGGTGCATGTGCGTTTCTATCCTCATTAGGGTGAAAGGTCTATTGTTTGCAACTCTTCCCCGATTCTTGGATGGATCTGTGACTCCCCTGCCTCAAGATTAGACACCATCGCTTAAACTTGAGATAAATGCATGGATACAAAGAGCCAAACAGTCTGTTGCTGATGTATCATTAATACTTTATTGCAAAAATGTGAGTTAGTTTATAAATATAGATCATATACTCTTCTCTATTTTCATTAACTCTTTTCTTGAGTTTTCTAATTAGTTCTTTTCATATTGTAGTGGAATCATTAGACTTTCTCACCAGTTTAAAATACTAATAGCTAATATGAACAAATCTGTTTTCCCTTGCACATGTTTAAAACTGAAATATAATTTTGGTATCTTTCTAGATTATGAAAATAACACAGACTCACTTTATACAATTTGTGAAATAAAGAAATGCATAAAGAAGGAAATAAAACCACCATCAACCCATGTTCCAGAGGTAACCACTATTAATATTTTGCTGTGTCTTGCTTTTGGTGTGTATGCATCTACGTGTCTACATATATATACATGTATACATATACGTGTCTGCATATATACATATATATATGCAACAAAATTGAGTAAGGCTGAACGCACAGGTTTATATTATGCAAAAAAAAATTTCAAAATTTAATTTTATTGTTTCCCCAATTTTCATAAAGAAACATTCAGGTAGATTTGTCCAGTCTTCATATTAAATATGGTTGTTCAAATTCATGTTTTTAGGTTTTAGTGAGGACAACTTTCCATTGAAATAGCTTATCTCTTCTTAGTACTTAGTACCTTGAGTAATATTATTTATGTTCACTGCCTAGAGTCATAATTTATTTTTCCCCATTGAGTTGCCCCACTGAGATGGGTAAGAAGAAAAATTGTGTAAGTCCATACTGGTTGTTGAGGATGCAACCAAGGCACAGCTAACCCCAAACTGTCAGAAATCTGGGTGGTTGGGGTTGGCGGTGAGGAACTCTGAATAACCTCTGATTTGCATGTAGCTTGTTCGTACAGGTTTGATATTTCAGGAAATCAGAAGAGTGAAAAGAAAACACGCTACGGCTGCCTGCGTGAGCCCACTCCTGGGAGCCAGGAGGTTGCCTGACCTTCTGATCCACAGAGATATCACAGGGGCAGAGGAGAGAAGAGGGGCCCGCGGAGGTTGGCAGTGTGACACTTGCCCTCCTCTGACGTTCAGTGGCACTTGGTGAGGGCCTTAGCACATTTTGATTTGAATCAGGGCTATTTGTTTACTCACATTAATGTGTGTAAAGCCCCAACAAAGTGTCTGGTACTTAATAGATGCAAAACGAATTCTAATCCCGCATGTCATATTAGACAATGGGTTCTTGGGAGGCATTTGTATTGTTCATATTGTGCAGTAAATTAAAACACGGGGCTTGGATCCAGACAAACCTGTTCAGGGTCTTGAGTTTGCCTCTTAGTAGCACTGACTTTGGGAATCTTGCTTGATGCCTCTGAACCCATTTCTCACCTGCCAAATCAGGATGGTAGTAGTTCCCATCTCTTTGGGCTATTGAAAGGATTAAATGAAAACATTCCTTTAATAAAGGCCAATGTTTATCCAGGTCTTACTACATTCAGAGCACTGTTTTAAGTGTGCTTTAGGTGTGACCATCTTATGTAATTCACATCACTCTGTGAGCTAGGCGCTAACACCCCCATTTTGCAGGTAAGAAAACTAAGACACAGAGAAGTTGACTAACGTGTCCAGGGTCACACAGCTATAAGATAGGTAAACTGGGATTTGAGCTGAAGAAATTAGTACTCTGTCTGGTATCTTTCCATACCACTATGCGCGACACCTTGCTGTGGTCCATTCCCTCGTTATGTGTGTGTGTGTGTGTAACTCCATGCCTGGGAAATACTCATTGAAAAGCATCTATGGGAGTGTCTTTCCAGGCTGCTAGTTAGAAGAGCACTAAATGTATTCCTATGCTCAATAAGAAAATGTGCTCATTTAGAAAAGAGACACATTGTATGAGCCTGATGTTCAGTCCTTTAAAATAGTGGCTTTAAAACTCACATTGGAATAATCATGGGAAAGGTTGGTCTGGTGAAGATTTCTGCTGTTCCCTGTTCCAATCAGCTGCTGAGCTGGGCTGCTGCCAGACCGATGACTCTTCTCCCATATGCAAGAGGGTGAAGCGTGAGGGTGTTACCAGGAACGGAGACCTGGAAGAGCTTGCAGGGCTGGGCACCCTGCCGAGTCACACCCAAGTGGTGGGCGCTTGCCAGCTTCGGGGCTAAGCTATTGCCCCGGAGAGACTGGGCAGGGCGGGCAGCTCTTTGCTTGCTTCTCTTGTCTCCCAGGGCAACAGCCTGGAGCTGACTGTGGTCACCCGTGGGAATGCTTCTCCTGAGTCAGCGGGGCCTGGGGTGCCCCAGGGTGTGGCTGTGTGTTCTTTTGGGCCCCCGCACAGATGGCTTTTATCTCAAAGGATGTCACTGCGCCATCACGGGTTGAGGGCTGGAGCTGCAGGACAAAAGTGGCTTGATATGAACCACTTTCTAAAAGTGTCCACTTTTAGAACTTTCCACGGGGCTGCTGCTATAGGCGCAGTGCTTCATGTGGGAATGTTTTAAGCCGGTTAGTGCATGCCCATCAGAAAGTGACCAGAGACCTTGACTCTAGAAACAGCTCTTTCTCCAATTTGTGCATTTGAGAAGATCACTGTCTCTCCTCTTGGTTTTATAGTTTCCTCATATGGAAAATTAAAATAACTCCTGCCCTCCCTGTATGACTGGATTATTCTGAGACCAGATGGGATGATGGATATAAAAGTGGTCACTAAGTGACCGGTGCTGCCGGAAAGCAGGGAGCCATGCCTTTTCCTACAGGTGAATCTTACCTCCCTGGCTCCTGATTGTTCTCCCGTTTGAAGAGTCTCTGACCACAGCCAGCTTGGAGGGCTGGGGGTTGGTTTTCTTAAGAGAGGTGCTGGATTCCTGACCTGTGATGCCAGTGAGGATTTCTAGGAGGAAGGATGGTCTCAGGGAGCTGGTGTTGGAAGCTATGGGATCCAAGCACTCCTGTGCTGTCTGGGAGCCTCCGTCTGTTCCCGGCTTCAGTGGGTTGGGCTCTCACTTTATTAAGGAGGCAATGCAGGTTTTCTTAGTGCCTCTCAGTCTTCCGTGGCACTTTAGGGAACTCTTTTATTTTAGGGACACTTATTGGGATGCTGGGCACCCTCAGAGTGAAGATTTCCTTGGGAGGGTGACCAGTTGCACTGACAGACAACTGAAGGTGGGATGGGGCCTGGCAAGGTTAAGTCTCGGCACTTAAGTACCAAAGAGGAGAGGGAGGAAGAGAGGGAGGAGGAGAGGGGTGGTGCTAGCCCCATGGCAGCTAGGCTGGCTCTGATACCCTCACCATAGGTTTTTGGCAGGAACAACACAAACTTGCAGCTGCTTTTTTGGGTGGGGGCACCCTCTTTCTTTGTGCATCAAGATATAGCTGCTGCCCCGGAACAATCTCCTGGTGGCTGTACAATGGCAGACACGAGTGAGGCCTGGCCCCCAGGGGGTCTGCATTCTGTTCCAACCAGACCATGTCCTCAGGACACTGACCAGTGGAGTGACTCGGAACTCCTGTCATAGAAGGTGAAGGGATGCTTGGTGTGGTGCATGAGACTTGTCTTCATAAACCTGAGGGCCCGTCCTGGGGAAGGGTAGCCGACTCTGTTCACTCCCAACCTTCCTCCTCCTCTCCTCCTCTCCAGGGGAAGAATGTGACTCACTGTAAGAAAGAACTTTCTGTAAGTCGAGATACCTGGATGTGGTGAAGCAAAAACTGACTGGCCCCATAAAGGGGTCCACATGAAGGGGTTTCAGAGACACAACAAGGTTGACGTTAATGGTCTCCCTTCAAGCCCTAAGAAGCTGTGATCTTAGGGACCGAGTTTGCAGAGTTATGAGCCTGACCGACACCACATTCACTCAACAATGCTCCAGAGCTTTCTCCATGCTGAGAGTATCCTTTAGGACTGCTGTGTTGGACCTTTCAGCAGCGCAGTTAGCCTCTGAGGTGCTGTCAAGTCCCACCGCCCTCTGGTTTTGCTGGGAGGGGAGGATGACCTGCATTCATCACTCCGCATTCTGACTAGCCCCCCTTTTCATGTTTCCTGCTCCTTCTTTATTCCCAGTTTGTTGCTCTTGGCACCAGAATTTGTGTGGATTTGTTCATAACAGTTACCCTCTGCCTTGAGAAGCGTGTGGACTGTTTTAGGAATATTTTTACAAAGTCTTGGGCCATATTTTTATGACTGGAAATTAACCAGAGAAGTGGAAAAATGCCGGCTTGCTTATTCCGCTCTATGTCCTGAGGATGAATGCTTCTCGCCTCCCACTTCTGTTTTCTAGCTGCTTGGGTCATAGGTTCTTGGCCTGGGCCCGTCCCTTCTGACAGGACTTTGAGGTTACTTGAAGCTCTGTGTTTTTGTTTTTTTAAAATAAAGATATATAACATTTATTGAAGTCATATACAGTGAGAGTCACTAACTCTTTTTTTGTATTTTTTTAACTGAAGTATAGTTGATTTACAATGTTTCAGATGTACAGCAAAGTGATTCAGTTATACATACATATATATATATGTGTATGTATATATATATATATATGTCTGTTCTTTTTCAGATTCTTTTCTATTATAGGTTATTACAAGATATTGAAAATAGTTCCCTATTCTATACAGTAGTCCCTTGCTGGTTATCTATTTTATATATGTTAATCCCAAATTCCTAATTTATCCTCCCCCTCCTTTCCCCTTTGGTAACTGTAAGTTTGTTTTCTATGTCTGTGAGATTATTTCTATTTTTTAAGTAAGTTCATTTGTATCTTTTTTTAGATTCCACATATAAGTGATATCATATGATATGTGTCTTTCTCTATCTGACTTTACTTCAGTTAGTATGATAATCTTTAGGTCCATCCATGTTACTGCAAATGGCATTATTTTATTCTTTTTGTGGCTGAGTAGTATTCCACTGTATATATGTACCTCATCTTCTTTACTCAGTCACCTGTTGATGGACATTTAGGTTGCTTCCATGTCTTGGCTATTATAAATAGCACTGCTGTGAACACTGGGGTGCACGTATCTTTTTGAATTAGAGTTTTCTCTGGATATATGCCCAGGAGTGGAATTGCTGAATCATATGGTAAGTCTATTTTTAGTTTTTTAAGGAAGAAGCTCTGTATTTTTATTGTCAAGTCTTCCGATCCTCTTCTTGCCTCCCAGGTACCGTCTTTCTCCTTGATCTCCTTTTCCCCCGTCCAGTCCTTGCCTCTTCCCCATGCTTCATATTTCTTACATCTTAGAAACTCCTTTGAGCTGAAGGTAACTGTCTGCGCCAATGTGTACATCTGCTTCCTGGAAGGACTCACAGAGATCATGGACTTTGGGTGGGCCTTGAGGTGAGTTGCTTTTAGTCCCCTTTAAAAGAGCTTTAAATAAAAAATAAAATGGGCTTTAGCCATTCAGGCTACCATTTCTCTTGGGAAATGAGCTGACAGGGTGGTAGTCTCCAGCCAGCATCCTTTTGCTCAGCCATGGTTATGAAGTCCTGGTCCATTTCCAAATTTTAATCATTTTGATCATTCTTTTCAGATTCCAGCATAAAGGCATGTTTCTGGTGCCTTTTATTTTTCACATGTAAAATATTAAAGGCTGAGGAAAACTGTTTGAATCTTGGCTGTAACTCTTCAGAGTTCTGCTTGTTAGCCCATGACCCCACCTTAAGTGGGTGTTGACCACAGCAGGTGTTGGGGTCGGCAGCAAGACAAAGGAACCAGCGTGACAGCTTCCTGCCCTCAGGCACTCAGAGTCTAGTCATGGAGACTGGCTGAGGGCACGGATGTGGGAGCCTGGAGTGGGCACCTGGAGTGGGCAAGCTTGAATTCTGCCTGACTGGAGGTGGTGTAGGGGCAGCGGGGAAGGATGCTCAGCCGAAAAGGTGAAATCTCAGGTGGGTCTTAAAGCACATGAGGAAAGTTTTGCTGGGAAGACAAGGATTTTATGGGCAAGCAATGGCATTGGAAAAGCAAAGGATTATGAGAAGAGTGGTATGTTTAGGGATTAGAGAGCAGCTGGGTGTAAGTAGATGCAGGGGAGGCGGGTAGAGGCGGAGGGGAGGGGATTAGACCAGGGAGTTGCCTTAGAGAGCACTCCTGAAGGGCCTAGGGCACCACGTGAAGAAGGTGGGACATTGGTGTTGGGGATCATTGATCTCTGACCCCCACCCAATCACCGTGACCTTCTGTAGGGCTTTCCTGCCCACCAGCTCACTGTGAGATGCTCTGAAAGGCCTCTGTGAATTTGTGTGTTTCTGGCTACAAAATGAGAGACAAACAGGAGTAGCCGGAGACTGGCCACAAGGAGATGGCCTCAGAGGACTTTGTGATAATGCAGATGAGAACCGTGGAGCGTCCATGAGACCAGCAGCCTCTGCCTCACCAACCGTGTGTCAATACAGCCCACCATGTCCAGTGACAGTGCTTCTTCTGGTACCCAAGCTGCCTCCAGCTTGCCTCCTAGCCTTGTGGTCACTCATCACCTCCCTTACCAGAACTCATCCTCTTGATTAGAGTCGCCCCTGACTGGGGCTGCGTCACCCACCCTCTCTCAGGCACTGCCCTCAGGACACACAGGCCAGAGACATGGCAGGATGGATGAGGTGTAGCTTCGTGCCCCCCAAGGAGGGAAAGCTCACAGGAAAACAGAGCTTCTCTGTGTTTCAGCTGAGCACGGGTCGGGCTCACCATTTCCTTAATATCCATGCCGGCCTTGTGGGTTGTGGGGGGAGGGCCTGCCGACATTCATGTGAACTCAAAGGCTTCCTGCTCACGGCGTGGGATGGCTTCAGACGTGTTTCTGCAGGCCTTTTGGCTGCACCAGGGCAGGTTCTTGTATGACCTCACCCAGCTGAACATCTGCCAGAGTCAGCCTCAGGAGCCCCGGAAGCTCCCGGGTACACTGCCAGCTCCCATCGCCCGTCATCCCAGCCCTCCCGTCTATACCTTGCCTCCCAAGGTTTAGGGCAGTGTCTGTCCGCAGGGCCTCGGTGTGCAGTCCACGGAAGGTCTCATAGTGGTCAAAAACCTTTGGGAAAACTCTGGGGTGAACAATGCTAAGTGGTTTAGTTTACTGCAGCCCTTCTCAGGATCTCTGATGTGCTAATACATTTGGTCCTCCGTAACCTGTAGATACAGAGAGCAGTGCTGTTTTACACGAGGGACTTGAGCATCTGCAGATTTGGGTATCCACTGGCGTCCTGGAACTAATCTTGTGTGAATTCCAAGGGACGACTGTATTTATATTGTGAGTTTCCCGGAGTAGGTAGTAAGTGAACAGTCTGTTTCCCACACTTACTTGGCCAAGACACATTCTCATGCCCGACTTCTTGCCAGTATAGAGGCTTTCCTTCTGCGGAAGTGGAGCTCAGCTGGGGCTCAACTTTGGGGAGAAGGTTCTAAGAGCAGCAAAACTGTATCTCCTAGATTTTGGAGGGATTCCTAATTAGGGTAGCAACACCCCAGTTCGCCTCAGGCAGTCCGTTTTTCAATGTGTTGTCCCAGTATAGTTCGGATAAGACTCCTGATTTTTCCTCTCCACAGTGCCCTGTTTGAAGGGATGAATGACGTGGGCACCCTGGCCCTAGTCCACTGCAGAGCCCAGAGCCCCGCCACTTGCCCTTCTGGAGCCAAAGGGCAGCTGTTGTTAGACTTACTTCTGCTTCTGCTTATAACACAATCTGATGTCACCCTTTGACTCACAACTCACTCTCTGACAACCTTTGATATTTGTCAGCGGGTCCCGAATTCTTTCCCCTTTATTCAGCCAC